ATATCGGCTAAAGCTACTAGTTTGGCAAGCAAGACCAATGCATATCTTTCACGAGAGAAATGAAAGAATTCTGCCGTTACTTTTCAGCCAATTATTTTTCAAGATTGGTGAAAAATCTGGAGAAAAGATGCTTTGTTTAAATATTTAGGAATGTTTTGATATGTTAAGATTTTATCTTTACAGAGCTCGAGGCATTAAAAAGATTTAAAAAGCAACCAGACTTGGATCGATGGTTTATATTGACACAATGATTGTCGCATGATCTCCGCTGATTAAAGCATTTATCTCGGGTTTCCAGCTGAATGAAAAGCCTTGATTGCGAGTCAGCTATTTATAAACCCAAAGAATTCGGGTAAAAATTCAAAAGGTTTCACCGAAAACAAAAAGTCTTCCTGGTTTGATTAAAAGCAAGGGAAAACCAGTGTGGTAAAATTGTATGCAATTTCACACTTTTTAAATAATATAAACAATTTAGCAGTAAGCGCCTAGTATATCTTGTTTACACAGGCCTATTTCCTCGACCTTGGGGGAAATATTTCACTTTTTTTTTTGGTAAAATGAAGTGCTTTTTGCATTGATTTTAGATCGAGAATACATATATTTACCAGCGGAAGGGTCCCTATAGTGGGCCCAAATTTACTTTTAAAAATCAACCTCTAGTTCGTCGTTCTCAAACTGGCAAGTTGCCCTGAATACTTCATTGAATGGCGATATCTCTTTAGAACATATACCAAGATACAAACTTCCTGATCCGCAGGCAGCTAGCTTTGTCGTATTATATAATAGGTGCATTCAACACACAAAAACATGTGGCTATATATTGCCAGCGAATAGCCTTGCTGTAAATAAAATCGGTCGGAAAATAAAACCTACAATGCCTGCTTTAATAATTTGCGAACCCAAAGTTAAGTTTATCCTTGTTTGAAACATGCAGACAAGTCGAGCATTGAACAAAAACATTGCTTACAAGACGGTCATTATAAGTTGTTGACACGTTAAAGACAGCAAGGAATTATTGTTTTTTGATAAGCATGTGTTAAGTAATTCAGTCGCCAATAATCGGGTCAACAATATTTTAAGCGTCTTTTCCTGAAAACCAGAGTTTTATTCATCAACAATATTGTAGAAATGAAATGCAATATTATATAAGATGCATATACTTCGCAGGCTTGTGTCTTAAAAACAGCTAGTCGACAAACAGAAGAAAATGTCATCTCTGCTGAGTATTCGAGACCTCATGAGTATATATGCTGAATGGTATTGTGGGTAAATTGGAAATAAGGATTGAATGGTGAAAACAGGCCAGGCTCGAGGATTCGAGGGTCAAACTCAAAGACTTACAGACTGCAAATTACATATGCAGCATCAAAAAGACAGCTTGAATACCTTTGCAAAGGGAAAAAACTAAGCAAGAGATTTCCTTTATATTGCCATTCAATCTTCTTTATGAAAGCTGCAAAAACAGTGTACTCGCTACTCTTGTTGGGTATGTATTGGTGTAACGAGATATTATAGATTCAAAGCTTGGACTTCTATATACACAAAGGTAGCAGTCTTGGATCAACTGTGCTACTAGCTTGTACTTAATTCAGATCACAGCTGTTTTATACCCAAGCCCATTAATCGCCTACATATACCCATAATAACGCCACCCATTTATGTGTTACGTTTGGTCCAAGTTTTTAGTTCTAATTGTCAACAAATGCTTGGGATCAATATCAATAGACTATTTTAACATACTGGTGTCGTGAAATGTATGTACAAACTTAACAGTAGAGATTTACTCACAAATCTACAAAATTTATAGTCATCATTACACCATTTTCATTTTCTAATATTGTTCTTGTTAATATTAAACCAGGCTAATGAAGTCATTCATTAAAATCGTGATGCTTAATTAACAGACATTTTACAGCAAAGACTAGGTAATAAATTCAGATTCTTAAAATGTCAAATTGTTTGATGAAGCCGACAATACTTTTATTTTGATAACCTTAAGTGAACACGACTAAAGTTGTTTTAGGAGATCTGTTCCGCCCTGTCAGTTTTAACAATAGCTTGTCCTCTCTATTCATCTTAACGGAGAGTGTTTACCTGTTTACGTTTAAACCTGCTCAATCTTTGGAACGAAGGGACAGGACGGTTATAAGGTTACAAGTTTTCCAGCCACCATATCAATACACATATTGCTTTTTTTCTTTTTTTTTTCAACTTTAGACAAAGGGTTTAAAAAGACCGGAAAGCTTCATAGGATTAATATGCAGAAACTTCTGAAATTAATATGCTATTTTTGTACCCAATTTAAGAAAAATCACGTGGTTTTTCAGTAGCCTCCATCTGAGTTCATTCTTGATGATTCATTCTTCAGTCATTTAAAATGTTACCGGATACAATGATGATTTGGCCATTTTGTATTTCACATTAAAAACTTTCTACCTGGCTGAACTTAGTTAAAAGGGATCCTCTTTAAGTTTGTTTACAAAAATGTATATTTAACCCGCACTGAACTTGCTGATCCCATGGTACTATTGCTTAACATTTGACTGAAAATTAATCCAGTTTTGTTAAGTTCAGTATTTTTCCTCTTTCAGGACTAAAATAATTTCCTTTCTCATCTTAGATTTAAAGGATTTGATCAAATCTACAGAAAATGATAAGTTCACCGTGCAAATAACATTACTCATCCTGAAATTTTGTATCCGCCTTTAAGCACTCCCACTAATTAATACCTACCAATTTACTGATCATTCAGATACATGTAGGTATATTTAGAATTTATGTAAAAATTATATTGATTGAATGTTGAAGCCGTTTCACCCCAATGTGATCGTAGATTCTTATGCGATATAGAAGACTGTGTCCCCGCCCAATTACTCATCATTCATTCCTAGTCTCTACCAAAACAATTCCCACCCCAAACAAAACATAAGTACATGTACTCATCGTAATGAAACGCCGCCCACCTTCAACAAACACCTTCACGACTAATTTTCAATCCTGACTAAACAAGTCTCCACCCATAACCACTCCTAACAACAAATATCCAGACAAATTTAGTCTCTTACCACCCTTCAACAAACAAAAATATCCCCCCCCAACCTCATTGAATGAATGTCCCCAAACCAAATAATTCTCTTCCTACTAAAAACCCCAAACCATACCAAGTACCTCATCCTAAGAATAAAATGGTTCAACAACCCATCTCTGAAGAAACACCCGACTCATAAATTCAAAAATGCTTCCCACCCAAGGAATAAAAATGCCTTGTACTCAATTCACCCTGACCCAATCAATTACATTCAACAAAAGAAAAAGAAATTGTAACCCCTTCTAGCATCATAATTAAATGTTAAAAAGGCTAACCTATTCAAACGCGACATCACTAGATGTTTCTTCATGTCAAAAGCCACTAATTAAAATTATATACACCCTAACGAGTTGCAAAGCGAAATCATTAACAACTCTATACAAGTATGAAAGTAGCTAAATCCAGGTAGCTTATCATTTTTTTTCCATGTATCCTTAGAATTCCCTATACTTTCTGGGTGTGATAATTCGGGCATAACGACTGCTTATATTTTTAAATGGTGACTCAACACTTATCACAGCATGCTGGTGTCAAGAAAGTTAAGGTGCCACACAAAACACTAGGCACCTCTATCCCTCCCCCACTGTTTTTTATTGTTATTTTCTTTTTGTCAATTTATGAAGCAACCCAGAAGCACAGTATTCAATCATATCTGTCAACCCTCCCTCATTTTGATTAAAATTTACTAATCTCCCTCATTCAAATCCAAACTTGTACAAACTCAAAATTACATCCTGTGGTCAAATGAGCTCAAGAATTTATTTTGATACATAAAAAGTTAAAAATAAATTGAGAAAAGCAGTTTTAAGTCACATTTCATGCACTTTCTCACTCATTAGAAATGTGGAATGAGGGAGATCTCCCTCATTGTTCGATATGCATGTCCAGCTTGCAATTCCAACTTTCAAAAAATTCGAAATTTTATTTACTATTTATACAGATTATAATTATATCAATTTGTCCTGAAAAATCCAATTTCATGCCCAGAAATTGCAAAAAGGGAAATGCAATCACCAACAATAATTTTTATGCATATGATCATATTTCCCTATGCAAAGATTTACCATAGAAATGGAATTTAATGCAATGTATAACCATCAAACTGATGGAGCCCTCGTATCAAGAAGAAGAAGAAAGTGTCTTTTTAGCAGAAAAAACAGGTCACTGTGACTTACATTCAGCGAAGCTGTGGTACAGTTTCTTTGTGTGGTTTAGGATGGATCTATACTTTCCAATGCAAGGGCTCTTGGGATGGTATAATCAATATTCAATTCAATTTATATCCGCAAGTTTTACAACTTATAGGATTTGCATCTGTACACCAACAAATAATTTCATATAACTGGTACATTCATCACAATTCAGAAGCAACATCATCGACATTGTTATTTTCATCACTTTTATCTATATATAAATTTTGCCTGAAATATTGCTCAACCCTTTCACCCCTATGTGACTGTTCACCCCTCTGTAACTGTAAATAACTCTACCATGCATTGATTTGGATAAGTCCGTTGAAACCCATATATACTATATAAAATTTACTTTAAAACCAGACGGCTCAAAGATTAGGAGTTGCTTTCATGCAAGATGAGGAAGTTCCCGGGGTGTATATAGCGATTTTTAACATTTTGTGTGAAATACAACGTACCCTTACGGGCAAGTGTTTGCATACATTATACATGTTTAGCATGGGTGATGTCGACTCATGAATTCACATTGGGGGATTGTTGACAATTTATCCGAATATGCAAACTCATTTTAGATATTCTTCTTTAGTTATTCAATCCTCCTTCAATCAGATATGTTGATAGTCAAGTATACATATATAGTTTGTAAACTTTTATAACTATTGATTTGAAAATGAAAAAACATATAGCAACTCCTAAACTTGTTTTGTGATAAAAAATACCTTTTTCTCAAAATAGCTCTGGAGTATGTTGTTTTGTTCTTCTAGAACGGACAAACGGGTCTCTGTCTTTTGTTCAAAAACTTGCTGCTGTGGTTGCATTGCCATTTTTTTACAAACGTGAAAAAATTTGCACAGGTAACCACCTGGCCACACCCTTAATTGTATTGAAACTAGGACCGAACTTGTTCCGGTACGGCACTACTTCAGTACAGTCCCAACAGGTATTGAACGATTCTGTAATAAATAGAAAAACATTATTGAATTCCGGTACAACGATAAAGTCCTTCACACCTGTCTAGTGTTTTGATCAATACTAATGTTTTGCAGGTCATTAACCTATGATTTGGAAACGGAGACCGCTTCTGAATAAAACATATAACGGCCGGTTTGTACAATTCTAGCACGCAACGTGAAATAACAACAGGTAAGGACAGATAAATTAACATATAGTATACTTGGTGCACAGGAACTTATATAAAAGCAAAATAATAATTCATGGACGAAGACACGTAGCTTAATTTCTTACCTTGAACTCAAGCCGCCTTTTAAGAACACAAGTTTTAGATCCGCTCACCTCCAAGAGCTGTGTTCTTGTGATAGCAGACGATTGCAAGCCTCGTTTTAACGTCGTCTCCGAATTAGGTCGAATACAGCCGAACTAGAATCCTTTATGAAAAATCACTCGGGTGCGACAAAAAGCTTTTAAAAACCTGTTTCAGAACGACTGTATGTGTTTGCATGCTTTCTTGTTGGACCTTATGCTGCGTAATATGACTCGATTTTGTCGAGAGTGAGTAGTTTTCGTTGACAAGTTCACTGTCTCCACACATCTGACGAACGCGTGCAAAAATAATGATCAAAGTGTGAGAAAATATTTTTTTTCTTTTTCATTACTTTATTTCGATACCAAATGATTTTTTTTTACACATTTCTAATTTTAAACGAAATTTGATTTCTTGACTTGTCATATCATTAATAATAGGCATGGATAACAAACGCGGAAACGTTTTATGCAAAACCATAAGATCTCGACTGCAGTCATTTACCACTGGATTTGAAAGTTTTGATAAAATTGTACTTTTTAATTAAGAGAAGATAAATGAGACCCTTTGCTATTCTTCTGGTACGGGGATATAAACTAATCAACCCGCCACATAATGCCCGTGAGCCATTTAAAGTCTTATAGCGCATTTCCCTTACTCTGAGACCGAAATATTGTAATACCATCCGTCATTCACAGCCTTACTTTAGCAAAATGACAGTTTGAAATAGATAACACTTCTGCATTTATACAAATGGTCAAAATATGGTTATCTCAAAATGTGTTTCCGTTTAAATAATCCTAATCCAGACACAGGGGACGGTACAGTTTAAGAAGGACGTCATTTATTTAAAGTATAACGAACTGTTAGCTATACTTAACAAACTATATACATTTGACGTTACATTTGAGGTTTGCCAGAGAAAGATCAATTTGTATGGGGGTACCAAACCGGTTTACTGCACTTTTCAGTAAACAGTTTACACATTTAAGACACTCCACAGGGTGACTCAAGTACCTATATAAACACTTCAGAGCAAATTAATATGGAAAAGTATTGAGAACGATTCCCTTAGCATAAGGGTCCGGATTACAAAGGTTCCAATGTAAAAGTTCATACTGTAGTATATGGAGGCTTCCTGTTGCCTTGAGCGTCCGGATTAACGTGAGGTTTCTGTGTATCTGGAGTCTTCAGATAATGAAGTTTCCGTGTATCTAGAATATCCGGATTACAAGATTTCTGACTATATAAAGCGCATGGATTAACAAAGTTTATTTATCTTGAGTGTCTGAAATTTGGAATGTCCGGACTAACGAGGTTCATATACCAAAGTGTCCGGACTAACGAGGTTCGTGTGTGCATATATATCAAAGTTTATAGACTTACAATATTCTTGAGTGTTTACAAACAAATTATCTTTACTACAGTACACGAAACACGGTCCATTTCGCTGTACACATAAATCAGTGTTCGGATTCACGAGATTCCGGTTTGCATGCGATTCATCAAATTGTCTATACTTATGGTACTCACTGTGCATATAAACGAAAGTCTCCGGACGAACGATGCCCCTATAAATGTAAAGAAAATTGTCTGGACTAGGTAATGGGTTTCCTTTGTGTACATTTTGTGTACATTTTGTTATTTTTATAACAAAATGTAATTTGATTTACGTAAATACCATAAAAGCTACGCATAGTATAACATCAAATATGAACTGAAAGAGACGTAGGGAAAATCTGTTCACTATGAGCCCATACTTTCCTTGTACAACATTTTCATCGGTAGAGCATGTAGATCGTAAAAGGATGATATATTTAATAGTTAATGTAATGTATTTATGAAAATTTTGATGATCTCATTTTCATAGAATGTTTGATCTTAGTATCCTCTCATACACATACGGGAACTACGCTAAGGGAAGCTTTTGAATAATATATTTAAGATTTTCAATTGATAAAAACTATCATCTATATTCAAAAAGCATAACATTTGTATAATAAAAAAGCTTTCCATTCGCCTTTATGAACACATGCATGTTTTCATAACGCTCTGTAGATGGTCTAGGCGCTTGTGTCGTGCCTAGTCACTGTTGGTCACAGGGACATGCATGGTAGGCGCTTGTGTCGTGTCTGGTCCCTGTTGGGCGCAGGGATATGGTAGGTGCTTGTGTCGTGCATGATTCCTGTTGGGCACAGGGACATGGTAGGCGCTTGTGTAGTGCATGGTCATTGTTGGGCACAGGGACATGGTAGGCGCTTGTGTCGTGCCTGGTCCCTATTGGGCGCAGGGACATGGTGGGCGCTTGTTTCGTGCATGGTCCCTGTTGGGTACAGGGACATGGTAGGCGCTTGTGTAGTGCATGGTCACTGTTGGGCGCAGGGATATGGTAGGTGCTTGTGTCGTGAATGATTCCTGTTGGGCAAAGGGACATGGTAGGCACGTGTGTCGTGTCTGGTGCCCGATCCCTGTTGGGCGCAGGGATATGGTAGGTGCTTGTGTCTTGCATGATTCCTGTTGGGCAAAGGGACATGGTAGGCACTTGTGTCGTGTCTGGGGGCTGATCCCTGTTGGGCTCATAGACATTGTAGGCGCTTTTATCGTGCCTGGTCCATTTTGGACACAGGGACATGCGTGCTAGGTGCTTGTGTCGTGGCTGGGCCCTGTTGGGCACAGGGACATGGTTGGCTCTTGTGTCGTGCCTGGTTCCTTTTGGGCGCAGGGACATGGGGGGCGCTTGTGTCGTGCCTAGTCACTGTTGGTCACAGGGACATGCATGGTAGGCGCTTGGGGAGTGCATGGTCACTGGTGGGCACAGGGACATGGTAGGCGCTTGTGTAGTGCATGGTCACTGTTGGTTACATGGACATGGTAGGCGCTTGTGTCGTGTCTGGTGCCTGATCCCTGTTGGGCGCAAGGACATTGTAGGCGCTTGTATCGTGCCTGGTCCATGTTGGACACAGGGACATGCATGCTAGGTGCTTGTGTCGTGCCTGGTCCCTGTTGGGCACAGGGACATGATAGGCGCTTGTGTATGGTGCATGGTCTCTGTTGGGGGCAGGGACATGGTAGGCACTTGTGTCGTGTCTGGTCCCTGTTGGGCACAGGGACATGGTAGGCGCTTGTGTCGTGCATGGTCCATGTTTGGCACAGGGACATGTCGTAAATGTTGTAGAACAAAATCATTCCATCAAACTTAAAAACTGAATCCGTACCGAATGTATCCATCCGATAAATATGCGCACCAGGGCTACCTTCAGTGCGGATTTAGCTTTTAGTTTGATATAACAGTGAAATATTCGTAGAACTACCAGTACTTGTTTGAAGTTCGGGGATGCTATACTAATACTATATATGTTTGTGTACACGACAAAAGCGGTATCCTCTCGGATGCAGCATTTGACTTGACACCATGTGTATAGTTCGGACTTTGACATACGAGATCCATGATCATATATACGATAACTTGTATATGTGATCATTGGGGGTGTTCTTTTTACCGAAAGTCGATATAAACCCCTAAAACATGTAGAATTACTCTGAACACCCTATTTTGGGTCTAAATATAGCTGTTACATATTCGTAGGTCCCTGTGTAACCATATACAGTATATTGTCCTTTCACAGTCAATACGAACCCGCCAAATCGCAAGGGCGAAACAAAGTGAAAATAACGCAATAGAGCAGAATACGTCTTTTCTCCCTCCCGTTGGCGTTCTTTCGTTCTTTCGTTTGTTTGCTTTTGGCAGGTTTTTCTATATACGAGGCATCTTCGGAATAAAAGGCTTCCATCTTCGAAACCCATCGATTTCGAAGCTGGCTTTGTGGACACGCTTCGTCTCTCAAATGTATTACGCTACACAGGGAACCAATGCTTAGCTACAATAATATGTTTGAACCTCATGCAGTGAGTAGTATTAAATGTTTCAGAGGTTTAGAAACATTGATGGACGAATGTTGATCTAAACTAAGCTCAATGTAAACCCTTGGACGTCTAACTCTACTCACTACACATCAGGACAGGCTCTATCGTACATACTGTTACTAGTTCTCACGTCCCTGTGCGACGCTACATACCCTTAGACCCTATCAGGTATATTACACCTCTCGTCTATTTCTCTTGGTGTTTTGTCTTCTTCTGGTGCTACATCTTAACTGTCTAGATCTTAAATATTTCCAGTGTTTAAATTGTACCAATACTCCCTACAACGGCTGTAAATCCTCAGAGCACAGCTAGAATCCCCGTAAGGTTCATTACCTTAGGCCTTGAGGATCTGGTATTTTTAATTTCCCTGTAAAACCCAGGCAACCGTGCTTCAATTTTCTGTCTCGGATTTCTTGTCTCCGAATATTATATTTCGTTCAGACAGAGGTTAGTATGTAACATGATGTCACATACATTTGTTGTATATAAACATGACAGAATACAATAATATATGATTATATCGTATGAAGGTTTTGTGGGATAGGAGAAATTATACCCAATGATGTCGAATTTCACGGTGTCGGAGCCGATCTGGGCTTTGCCGAGTTTCTGACACCAAATATGTACCCGAGGGCACAGGGACATGAAAATCTGTTACAGCTATATTTTACCAAATATTACTGTAACAAACTATCAGGTCCCTGTGCCCAAGGGTAGAACATCCATATCCTACATACCTACATAATTATTGACTCTTCTTCTCGAACCTATAACGCGAGAATTAAGTAAAATGGAAACGACATTGCGTATGCAACAGAAATATAGCAGAGTTTTTCGAAACCTATTCAAATTTAATCAGAACATATTTGGAAATGGCGGGAAAAACATTATATTCCGAACGTCCTTAAATGACCTTGGCTGTTAATAGGACGTTGAACATTGTAAAACCAAACCGAACTAAACCGAAGGTACACTGTAAGGTTCCCCTTTCCACTGCCAAAATATATGATATTTCAACTCGTAATAACTACTTGCTATCTAAAAAAAAAACTGTTAAAATGTCGGCTGGTAATAATGACTTGCTTTCTCATAAAAAAACTCTTTTTACTTTTGGAGAGACTTTTTTTTATAAATGTCGCTTTAATTTTTCTGGCATGGAAAGACATATATC